GTCTCCAGAGCTTCAGATAGACAAGATAACCAGTTCTCTGGTTGAACTAATTTCCTTTGAAACAACTCAAAGCATGACTGGAGTTTGTTCAATTTTTGATGTACAAGAACTTTCTTATTATTTCTAATAAGGACTCTCCTACTTTCCTCCTTTTGTCCTTCAATTCTAGGAGACAGAATACTCGGATTTATATAAAATTAGATAACATGAACTGTTTCATCCAAATTTATGGAAATTCTTGCATTCTCACTTATTTCTTTCTGAGTTCCAAGTTAGAAGCTCTGCATTTATGTCAGAGAATGTACATTTTCTTGTCCATATCAAAATCTTACACATTTTGTTTGTGATCCCAGGGAGACCACATGACAAGAGCAGAATGGATGCCTGCATCATGATCAGAGAATTTTTTCTGATGAACATCTCAAATTCTAGAGAGTTGCAAGCATTAAAAATTCCTTTTTTCACTGATTTATCTGGGATCTTTGGCTGGAAACTTTTAACTATCGCAGTCATAATGAAAAACCAGTGTCTTCACTCTCCAATGTACTTTTTTAATAAGTATTTTCTTCCTCATAGGCCTCTGCAGCATCTCAGTTACTGTTCCCAAGCCAATTATTAATTCCTTTACAGGTAGCATCTCCCATTTCACTCAAAGACTGTACTGCTCCTCAAGTTTTCCTGTGTGTTTTCTTTGCACTTGCAGAGCGTGCTCTCCTGGTGGTCATGTCCTATCACTGCCATGTGGACATTTGTCACCCTCTGCCTTTCAGGCTTATTTAAACTCCATGTCTGTGCACATAAGCAGTGGGGCTCATAGTCTACTCAGCAGTGGCCTGGTCTGCTCTGCGATCCACACAGCAACCATGTTCAGGCTTCCCTTCACAAAGTCCAATGTGATCCATCATTAATTGTGTGATCTATCTTGAAATTTTGAGGGTATCATCTTCCGACATTCAGTTTACTGAATCTGTTTTCCTTGTAGTAAGTGTTTGCATCATCTTTGTAAGTTTTGTCTTTTTGTTTATGATGTATATGAATACATTCTCAACAATGCTGAAGATTCACTTCATAGAAGTCTGTTACAAAGCCATATGGTCCTTTTCCTGAAGTTGGGTGTTCTTCTGTTTTTAATTTCTGGGTTGGATGCTGCCCTCAGTCCCACTGCAGTAAAGTTTCTCTGAAACACCTTCTAACAGCCATGTTCTGTATTCTGGCTCCCACACTCATGAACTCCATCATTTACAATCAGTGGAACAGAAATATTCATTCTGCTTTAGAAGATAGGATCAAGTGAACTTTTCAGGGAATTTCTTGATAAAAATGCTTGACAGCAAGACAGAATTTTAAAGTGTATTGATAAAAGTTTTACATTAGAGAGAATTCCTGTAAATTATTTGGTTATTTATGATCCCAATACTGTTTCTTTACTAAGTGAATGTTGAGGTCTACACCTAGATCTCCAGTTCCCCAAATGGGTGCACAGAGACAAACAGTTCAATCTTTAGGGCAGCAGGAGGACTAAAGTCCTTAACAGAGCTTGTAACTCTGCTAGCCAGCTGTCCAAATGATACTGGGCAGCCCATATTTAATCAGAACAAGAAAGGAGTTAAATGGAAATTACAGGAAACCTGAGCAGGATCTTGGGAGAAGTTCAAGGAACCCCTCAGAGCAACAGATGATGCTAATCAAGGAAAACAACAGATGATGTTAATCAAGGAATACAGAAAGTCTCCAGGTGGCCTCAGCTGTGGCCTATCCTGCCCCTTGAGGTGTCTCCTCATTCTTAGGTTAGCCATGCACAGCCCCCCTAGCCCTGTGCATGTATTCAGCTTAAAAGTTCTCCAACAAGTGAGTGTGAGTTAAATGTCTTACTGGTCCACTTCTTTAGAACTGTAATGATATAATTCATATCTCCTTCTTGAAAATACTGCAAGCCTGGTCACTATTCTGAAAATGCTTTGGAAAATGTTTCAATGCTGTGAGTTAAATGAAGAGACATCACAGGAAGGTGGTGCCTTAGGTATTAGCACAGTCACAGGTGCCTGGAAAATGGAGAGCAGATTAGGATTGTAAACCCTACTGTCCTGGAGGAGAACAGTGAATAGTTCAGGATGGAGAAGGCTACTGGATACATTGCTCTCTCATGTCCAATCTTATCCCAAGACAGGAAAGTAGTAACAGGACCTGGGATATGAGGTACCTGAGGTACTTGAGAATATAACGCTGAGAAACCTGCCACACTCCAAAACCATGCTGACTGAGATCCCTGAAGGTGGCTCAATCAGTGAAACAGTGGACTATGAAGTAACTGAGGTTCCTAGAACATGGCTTGATTCTCCGGTTCTCTCTAAAGACTGGAAGAAAGAAGAGATGCCAGGCTGACCCACCAACCATTCAACATGACAGAGAAAATCCAATCATAGCCATGCAGTGGAATGGGAAGCTTCAGTGCTAGTGTTGGATTTACCCAGATATTACCACCTTTTTGCTACTTAGTGATGCTGTCATTTTTTTTTTTCTATTGCTATGGTTAGGACATTAGATGAACTCTGAAGTCCCATGTGCTAAAGGGCTGATTGCTGCCATTCTGCAGTGCTGTTTATTTACCTATGGAATCTACTATGCTTACTGATACATTTTAAATATTTGGTTGTTGTATTTCTCAGTGCTTTCTTTAATAAATTGTGCTTCCTTGAAATAAGCTATTCAGAGTGAAAATAAAATCAGTACAGATTTTTTTTCCTCGGCATATTTTTGCACTCAGGAATTGAACTCAGGATCTTTCTCTTGCCAGGCAGGTCCTGCAAACAGCACACAATTCTTGGCTGAATTATATTTTGATGATTTAATCTTAAGTATCATTTTTATCTCAGGTTAATGCAATCATTGATTCTTTCATGCTTTCGTGTGTTTGGAATTCAAATCTTTTACCAGAAAGTCTCCTTTCAATACCTCAAATGATATTTTTACTGCTTCAAATTATGTATACATGCCAAGACTTATTTATACTATCTGTATTTTATATAATAGATGTACATGCATAAATTAATAATAGGACCTTAGCTCTTTTCAGTTTTCCATTTATTTTCACCATAGGAAAGACGGAAATGAAATAAGAGTTCATCCCTTTGGACACACATACCTGACATGTCCCACAATGTTCTGCATCAAGCTATGTGTGTGGTAATTTTTTATTTGTTTTGTTAGAATGGGAAGATTTTAAAAACATTTAACTTACTTTTAAATACTTATTTATATTCTGAAATCTCTTAGAAACATAAACCATCCTTCATATTTCTTTTTGTGAAATGTTAATGATGTGTTGAATTAGAATATAAAATTAATGTATCCACAAAAGATTGCTATTTCACAACATGACCTAGGTTTTATTCTATAGGCAAATTCAAAGGAAAGTTACGGTACTGAAACAAACTCCTGCCTGCACATTTGTGGACATCCATTTTCTGATCTTCAGAAGCACTTAGTTCTAACCACTGAGATCACCAGGAAACTCTGGGTCATCTTTCTTTAGATGTCAGGAGTTTAGAACTGCACTATTACCCTACTATTACACAGCTAAATAATTGTCACATTTGCCATTTGCAGAGGCATCTCTCAAGGGCATCACTTGTATCAGCCTCATGCAGTGGGGCACTGATTTCAAGTGAAAATAATATTGCTGAAATTTGCATAGCAAGGAAAAAAATCAGGAAGATGCATATAAATTATTCTCTGACATTAGCATGTATTTAGAGATTGAAAATGTGAAAACAAGAACTTTATAATTCTTCAGAGTCACATTCTATTTAAACTACACTTTGAAATTTGAGTAGCTTTTGAACAAATAGAAGGGTCCATGAGGCAGGACATAGGAGCTCATTTCAAAGTTGCTCTATGGGAAGCAGTGTCTGAAGGCACCTCCAAAGGCCACAGCATTTCCTGTGTGCTGTGTTACTGGCTCTGTACCTGAATCCCAGGGCTCTATACCCAGCCTCAGTGATCCTGCAGCACAGTGCACAGCTACCTGCTCCCCTGGGGGAGGACTGGGAGATGACAAAGTGTGATGAGCTGCTCAGCAAGTGCTCATCGCCATCCTCTGCAGGAGACTGTGAGCAGACCTAGCAGGGAGGCAGAACTGTTTCCTACAGCCAGAACACACATAATTACACACAGGGAATTCCAAAATGCCATGTGATACTGATAACCTGGAGGAAGCAGGAATTATCACGGTGTTAAAAGCAGTCGTTCTTGCCACTTTCATAAATTCCAACATATAACTAGAAAACATTAGGATTGTGATATTAGACACAAGCAACTGTCAATAAAGACAAAAAATCTGTATCCAGAAACATAGTTTATTTCAGAAAACACAAAGATGTGAAAGATTAAATCTATTACTATATTGAATACATCAAAATGTATTTAAAATCTGTGATAAAATTTAAACAACTTTTAAAAGTGCACAATTGTGTTTAATTTTTTTAAAGATATTTAAAATTTTATTTGTATCAGGAATCAAACTCAGGACCTTGCACTTCCCATGTAGGTGCTTGTGCTGCTGAACTACATTGTAAGCCTTACAATTATGGCTAAATCATAAATTTAAAATAACTTTTACTGAAAAGTGAAGATCAGAACTTACAAGAGTCTAAATATCAATGAAAACTCTAGAAAAATAAAATATTTAACAAAATTCAGAGATGCTCAGAAAAGTCAAATGTTTAGGGGAAAAAAATCACACAATCCTCATGTATATGCAACAGAAAAGTAAGAATAAAAACCATCAGAAGTACACTAGAAAAGCCACTGTTCTTTCTGTAAGTGAAGGAGGTCAGGAAATGACTTACTTTCTACTGACGCTGAAAGCCATGAAACACCATTAAGACTGTGGGGTAATTTGACCTCAAAATAGGAGTCATCCTAACAGCCAGCAAAGGGAGGCACAAGGAAGGGGATGTGATGGATCATTCTGACTGCAGTCAACTTTCTATCAATGAACATCACACATTCCTTAGGACTTTACACAGGGCTGACGGAATGTCCCTGTTCCTCATGCAGTAGATAATGGGGTTCAAGACAGGAGGCACCACAGAGTAGAGCACAGAGTACAGCAAGTCCCCAAGAGGAGAAGCATTGGAGGCAGGCTTCAGATAAGCAACAGTACCTGAGAGGAGAAAGGTGCCTACAATCACCAGGTGCGGTGTGCAGGTGGAGAAGGCTTTGGACTGGCTCTGCCTGGATGGGATCTTCGACACAGCAGAGAAAATAAACACATAGGAGACCACAATGCAAACCAAACATGAGAATGCATAGAGGCTCCCAAGGACCGCACTAACACTGATGATAGCATGCTCCTCAGAACAACTGAGCTCTAGTAGGGACAGGACATCACAGAAAAACTGGTGAATCTGATTGGAGCCACAGAACTCCAGGGAGAACATCCCAGCTGAATACAAAATACCAAACCCTGCTCCACTGACTCAGGACACAGCCACCAACTGGACACAGCACCCTTTGCTCACGAGAGCCTCATAGTGCACAGGCTGGTAGATGTCGACATAGCGGTCGTAGGACATGGCAGTCAGGATTCCCACCTCTGACCCTGGCAGAAGGACCATGAGGAAGAGCTGAGATACACACCCAAAGAAAGAGATAGAGTCACTGAAGGTGATGGAGTTGACAATGGATTTGGGGACTGTAGTGGAGATGAGACACAGGTCCAGGCAGGACAGATGCCTGAAAAAGAAGTACATGGGAGTGTGGAGGTGGTGGTTGAGAACTGTGAGGAGGAGGATGGTCAGGTTCTCCGGCATGGACACCAGGTAAACCAGGGAGAAGAGGGCAGCCGGCAGCCCCTGCAGCGCCCTGCTGTCCATCAGTCTCAGGAGCAAGAACCACCTCGCAGTGTCTGATTCTTCATATTGTAATGCTGAGTCTAAAAGCAAAATAACAATTTAAACACTAATTTACATAGCATCAGAAGTCACTATAGCTCAATCTTAGAAGTGGGCTACATGTCCATCATGGATGAACGGGCAAAGAAATGTGGTGTTAAACACAGCAGAGTCCACAGTGTCTTTACAGAAAGATAAACTTGTGGCCTGCAGCAGGAAAATGGATGAAACTTCATACCATGATGTCAACCAAAGAAAATCAGAAGCTAAGAATTGCAGGGTTTCTTCTACATGAGATACTGATGGTATAATTAATGATCAAAATAAAAGAGGCAAGAGAGATCTCTGTAAAAGAAAAGAAGACCAAGAGTTGGAGGGAGGAGAGTTGAACAGGATGTAGGAAGCACTGAGCTATGTTATGTGCATGTACCAACTCCTCCCCCCTGTGAATGTAATCATTATGCACTCAAATGTATGTTAAGACAAACAAACATCAAAATCTATACAGCACATAATCTGCTATGTGACTCTCCAATCTTGAGCCATGCATAGTTTAGCATCATAAGTTAGATGGAAATTTTAGAAACATCAAGATATTCAATTTTGTCTTTAAGTCAGGTATAAAACTGGAAAGGTATAAGAGTGCAATTTAAATTTTTGTTTTTATTTTTTTATGAGACAGGGTCTCTGTATGCAGTTCAGGCTGGCTTTGAGCTCACTTTGTGGTACAGGTTTGCCTGGAACTTGCAATGATCCTCCTGTCTCAGCCTTCCAAAGCTGCAATATACATGTGCGCATATACACACCCAGCTTAAACGTACTTTGCAACAAGAAAGAACTTCAATGTCTACAAAGGAATGTGAAATAACTTTAATTTTTTCCATTAAGTTTCCAGGATTGAAAGTGTAATAGTAACTGAAATAGGGGACAAGGTGTCCCTTTTTATGAATCAATATTATACTCCTTGGTGCAATTTGTGTACCTATTAGAAGTCATAGATGAAACATCTACTTACTGAATACTGCAATATTAAGCCAGTCAATAATTTGTCCTTCAGTTGGCTGACCTACTGGAGGTGGAAACTACAGAGATCTCTCTGACAGGACATTTCATAATTTTGAAAATCTAGTAGTCTATCCCTTAAGAGAAAAATATGAGAAGACAAACTTGAAAGGAAAAAGTGAGACATTTATCATTATAAAGTGATCTCACAATTAATTACTCATTTCTATCTTGCAAGATGTTAAGATAGATCTTCTGGGCTTTCATAGAAAATATTTCTTGGTCTAGATGTCATCATATTATCTAATCTTTTTTGCCTTCAATGCAGTGATTTAGTGTAGCACAGAGCACTGAAAGCTATTCCAGCCATTTTTGAAAAACTGACTTCTGAGTAAACAGAGGCATTGTCCATAAAGGAGCAAACTCTGAGACTAATGCAATGATCAGAAATATTCTAGGGTGGAATCTTCCAACACTGAGAACCAGCCCACAAAGTGAGACAAGCATACCTAACAGGGAGGCTTTGCATTCTCCCAACTCCTGGCCCCTGGGTTCCCTAGGTGAGTACTGGGCTTGTTCTTCCCATCAGGTCCTCCTGTGCCTAGAATCCTTTGCCCTTTGGATCAATTCAGTGACCTGACTGCAGTGCTCAGTGCAGCCTTTCTCATCAAGGTTAGAAGGGTTTCTGTGAACACCTCAAGGTCATGTCCAATGCAGTCATGCAAGCCGCCCTGCTAAGTCCACACTGTGTGTACACCCTCAGGTTTGAGAGTCTCTGACCTGCTGACCTTTGGCCCTGGTCAGCCCTATGGATCTCCTTTCACACTACCCTGAAGAGCTAGGAGGGTCAAAGACTGGGACTTCATGGTCCTTGCTAGCTCCACATATCTACCTGAAGAGCCCTTCAAGATTAAAAGTCCCTTTAGGATTAACATCTTAGTCCTCTGGGTCGTCAGAGTCTTTCTGTTCTGTACATTCATAGGAGAGCAGCCTCATGTCCCGCGTGGTCCAGTGGGACTCAGAAGAGCCCTCTGTCCCTACCTGGAAAAGAGGCTCAGCCTTCCCCTCCATGCTGCAGAGCAGCATTTCTCCTCCTTCCTGTGCTTATTTCTCAACTCCTGACCAGTTCTGCCCTCTTCTCTCTCACTGCAGTGTAATCCCAAGAGCTGGGATGGAGAGGTGAGGTCTGACCAGAGCTGTTTCCCTCTCACTACTGAGACGTAGGTTCTGTTAGTAAAAATGCAAACAAAACAAAACAAACATTTACACTAGTAACTGAGCTCACCTGTACAGCTTTCACAAATATGATTATTGCTATTTTTAATAGGAATCCTCCTACAGTTGAATATTGGGAAGTGATTTGAAGCAAAGAACGTTTTAAAATTTTCAGTAAAGTCAATACTTTCAATTTTCATCATATAGAGAAAATGGCTTAAAGCAACCTAGTTTAAACTACTGAGGAGTTGAAAAGATATTTTACTATTTATTATAGGTTCTTATAAAATCCAATAACTTGATATATTTAAAAAGATAACATGAAATTTTATTCCATGGGTGTTAGACCCAATCTCTATCCTGATGACCGACAGAAATCTTATAATAACACCCTAATTTCACATTTGCTTTTAATAATATGGAACTAGTGTCATAAAACTAAGATGAACAGATGGCAAGGGGAAATGAGTAAAAGCTTTGCTTTGGCTTCATTTTATTCTTTAGCGAACACAAAGGAGAATATCAAAAGAGAGAAACCAAAAGTAAAGGGAAAATGAATTTTAAAAGTGCTTTTCAAAGATGAAAAGCTAAAGATCAAATCACTGGGATATGTCGGATTGAATCAGTCATTCTACACGTGTGCACACACACACATACACACACATACACACACACACACTCCTTTTACTGCTCACCAGACTGTGTCATGGAAGACAGCCTAGTATTTTGCAGTCATCATGTGAATGAAAACATCTTCATTATTCCAAGTTCATTGCATGTGCACACATATTTTGTAACATCTAACTATTTTCTGCAGGTGAGTTCCACTTTCTGTGCTTCATAAAAATGTATATAAGTTTGTGATACATGGATTTCCAGAAGAAATTGTGTCAAAACCTTTAGGAAAGTATTAGTGATGTCACCAGAAAATGGGAGTGTATCACATAAAAACCTGGGACACAGTGTCATGTTTGTCACATCTTCCCTTGCAACACTCTTATCTGTTATTACAAGGCATGGTGAGTTGCACAGCATAAAGTGCACACAACTCAGGGTCAGAATCTGTGCCAGAGGAGAGAACTGCTAAGAATGAAGGATGCTCTGTGTGTCAGTAAAAGGCTGCAGAAGAACACAGCTAGTGCTATGCTGAGAAGACGGTGTCTTAGCATGTGCCTTCAACAGTGAGCTGACCACTTCATGAACCAAACCTATTGGGGGATGGAAGACTAGTGAGGGAACAGGAAGAAAGAGACAGGATAGGATGGGAAAGGTGGAGATAGAGGCAGAAGAGGAGAGAGCTACACATTGCTTCAGGAGAATGACAGAGTGAGGAAACAAAATACTGTGAAATGGAAAAAAATTAGTGGAAAAAAGACCCTTTTGTATTTGGAACAGCATATAAGCAGAACATTCCAACTTTCTCTGCTACTCCCCTCTACAATGTCAACCAAGAGAGTCACCACAATGGAGACTGTATCCAAAACAAACAACCATATCTGACCTTCCTAGGAACCATCCATGCCAAAGGGATGATTCAGTGAGTAATGAGGAGACAGAACAAGGAATAGTGATGTTTCTGTCCTGTGCCTCAGGATGTTCTTTGTCCAGGAAGTGGCAGGTCCTTTAAAACACTTGCAAGCCCACTTTGCGTCAGCTTCTCCCAAGAGAGGACACACTAGCTTTGTATATGACTTCCTGTTACAACAGAGCCTTTGGGAAGAGGCACTGGGCTCAGGGCCCAAAAAACTCTCATTCATTAGCTAGGGCAGGAAAAATACAGGATGAACTCCGAGGCTCTTTTTTAACTCTTAGTCACAAAGTATGGTCAGGATCAAACAATCAAAATCTTCCCAAAGCAAACCCCACAAAGGTCGGGCTTATTTGGAAAGAATCAACTGAATGAATTCTCAATAGACAGAACAAAAGAAAGAACAATAACGAAAGTAATGTGGGAATTTATGCCATCATTTAACATATAAAAAATCTATGGTCCTTGTTTATATGCATGAATCAATGAATAAATGAAAAAAGGGTACAGATTTTCCCTGCACAACACTAAATCATTTATTCTGTCTTGTTATATAAACTATCTCCCTAACCCAAACCCTAAACCTAACCTTATCCCTAACTCTAACCCTAACCCTAACCCCACAACTCTCGGTGTATTTTCCATCTGTATGATTTCCCACTTTCCAAAAACCATTTAGTCATAGTCAAGAAATACATGGTCATTCAGTGGAGTTTCATCATACAGAAACATCTGTATGATAACCTGAATTAAGTGTTCATACCTTGTTATTTTCTTGTATTGTTGAGCTACCTTTATCCTTCACCTACAGAAGGATTAGAGTTTCTGTTAGTTTTGATGGTGCTGGCTAAAACCCCTATAAATATCCAGATGCAGACTGTGTTTGATCAGCATTTTTGTAGCATTTTAATAAACAAGCATCAAGCTGTTTAGACCCATAGGCAGAGCTCTCACTTCTGCATTTGATGGGTTTGGAAGAAAATGTCAGACCATGTGTCTCTTCTTAAGGAAAAGAAAGAGAAAACCAGAACATAACAGAAAATGTCATTCTCTACACACTGCAGGAAATCATGGTCCCAGGGAAATCTAGAAGAGTTTCACTGGAGAATTTCGTCCAGATTTTAGTAGAGATAAGAGCAAGTTTCACAGAAACACACTAGAACTGCTGGTTACTACACTGACAACAGCTTATATGAATAGAAGCAACATTTTTCTAGTCAGGGGACTATAAAAGAGAAACCTAGTGTTCATGAACTCTGAGCAACGAGACATATGAAGTGAAACAAACAGACAGGTCAAGTATAGTAAGCTACATCTCCAATTGTTGTCTTATGGGCTTAAAAATCTTTGAGTTCATGATGCACTGAAGTATGTGAGGATTTCCTCCCCATGAGGAGAATGTCCCTTCTGTCCTTTGTCACATGCTTAGAAACCTCAGAGCTCATGTAAGTGAGCATTTTAGATCCATTTTCGCTTGGACTGCAGTAACCCCTTCATGCAATAAACTGAGTCATAAGAAAAAGAAAACACACACACACACACACACACACACACACACACACACAATGTAAGAGTTGCACAAACTGAAACTACCACTCATGAGGCAGCTGTCACAGTAAACAAATTAGCTTCTCACAATGTCAGCTGGACAGCACACTCTGGTACCCAGATGGACCATTCCGCATTCTCTGGAAAGACACAAGCATATCCAGGAACCCAATTTAGCACTGGGCTTGGTTCCTTCCATTGTCCAGTATGAAGATCTTTGCAAAGGACTCTTCCTAGAGTTTTTCTTTTACCTGATTGAATTGCCTTTTTGTTGCTGTAGTCCCCTCCTTAGTAGAATTTTCAAAGTTAATAGTACATATACTGCCAAGACTACTTTGAGGTATAAATTTTGTAGGGAAGGACTTCCACTTTTGTTTTTGTAACTGAATTTTAAGCATACAATGAAAACATTCAACAATTCTTTGACCCTAAGGGTTAAACAACTAACTTGGTAAGGGAAATATGAAAAGTTTTCAAAATCCTTGGGAGGCAGTACTCTTATAGACTGGACTGTAGTCAGTCTTAAGTGCCCATGGGTTTCCAATGAAAATAGAAACACCCAAACAATGAGCAGTGATATGTTTATCCACTGTGCCAGTGTTGGCAAACAAAAATAAATCCTGAGAACCTCTACTGAAATGTATATCCCGCACAAAAGACACAAACCCAGGAATGTGAGTGACTTCCATTTGTGAGAGACTATTGGGGTGTAATCCTCAGGGATTAATCTACACAGAGGGTGGGAAAAATGTATTACCCATGAGGAACATTGTTTACAATGGCTGAGCCAGTTCCTGGGTTAAATGGAACTGTTTGAATAACACAGAGGCATCTTGATGAAAGGTGGTGTGGGAGGCAGAAACTATTGAACAGTATCTGAGGGAGTAACTTCATGGCAGTGGAAGCCAGTATTAGCAGCAAATGCAAAGGGGAGAGAGCATAAGCCTTCTTTTGTACTCTACAGTGCAAGCAGGCTACCTCCCAGGGAGGGTGCAGCATGCACACCACCTCTGTACCCTCCTTCTGCACAGGTTAAGGATGTTTAAGTGAGGCACTCCAGCCCTCCTGCTGAGTCACTGTGTCATGCTTCTAAACTGCTCAACTTGACACAGGATACAACCATTCCATTGCATCCCTTGTGGAATTGTCAACCGACACATTTTAAAAATCAATTCGTGGATACAAAGACATGCTTACTTTTTTGTCATTTCACAATTTGAGCATCACAGCACAGATGTAACAATCTTTGAGAACCAGTGTTGTCTATTAACATTATACTACATTAGTACCCTAACATTTAATCCTTGCAGCTGAAACAAGCAACATTGTTCCTCCCTCCTTCCTTGTATGGGCCGAATTCCAAGCCCTGTGGAGCAATTTGTTCCCTCCACCCCACCCTGCAGGCCTGTGAGAAGTGAAAGCAGAAAGCAGCAGTTTCTCCCTGTGAAATAATCCCTTGAAAAGTCTGTAGAGGTCCAGACAGATTATGCTGCTTTACTTTTTCCCTAGCTGTGCTGCACGTTCTTTCCCACCTCTTCCCAAGTATGTAACTTTACATTTCCTTCTTTTGGATACAAAGTAACTCAAGAAATTTAGCAACCCATGCAGTCTCAATAGGAATACAATCATGAAAAGAGTGTCTCACCCAAGTCCATGCTTAAATACAGGAATCAATAATACAGCAAACATTTCTATATGCAGTGTGTGGTTTCTATATGCATATGCACTGTTTGCTTGATGTTTTACACCTGATATTGGGCTTAGCATTGATGATATTAATGGGCTGAATATTGAGGATATCAATACACTTTTGTGCTCAATATTGATGATGTCAGTGGGTTTCATCCTGAGGATATGAATGCAACTCCCTCCCTTTTGTGTACACAGTACAGGTGTCCTTATTTGTAAATTCTGACTTTCCTCGTGCATCAGGTCCCTGTTTAGGCACATTCTGCCTCATCTCTCTCACCTCTCAAACTGCCTGGGTGAGAATCATGAAACGCAGTGACAGGGTGAAGAAATAAAAAGAAGACATTGAAAGCGGGGGTGGGGTGGAGCCCTCTCTCCATATGGGAGGAAAGGAACTGCTCAACCACTGTGGCACATTTATTTATACCCTTGGGAAGTTGTGGTCAGTTTTAACCCCTCAACCTAGCAACTTGTTTGCCTGGCTCTCCTGGGCACCCTTCTCTCTCAGAGTGGGACTGCTTATTTATATGGCTTGCCTCAGGATGCCCATGTTGTCAGAGATGGCTTTTCTTTACCCCCCACATGCATTCAATCTCCAGTTTCAGTGACTCCTCACAAAAAATATCTGGACTCCTATGGTTTTGTTTTGAAGAATTATTCACAGAAGCCAAGATGTGTGTCCCAGTGCCTCTCACTTAATGGATTAGATATAGATGTAGTATACAGGAACCATGGAATGCCAATCAGTTTAAAATAGGAGACAATCAGTAATTTATATCAGCATGAATAGAAATGGGAGAGCCATTTCATTCAAAGGAGTATCCAAACATTTCATGTTGTCACCCAGAGATAGAATTTAGAACAATCTCCCTCACAGAAGAATAGGCTAGAATAATGATTTTCACAGGCTGGGGAAGTGGGAAGTGGATATATGGTACAGCGAGACTTACACAAAGCTTCACTTACATGGGAGAAATTTTTTTTATTTTTACATAGCTCTTATTCACAGCCTGGTGAGTATAGCTAATGAATTATTATGGTACAGGTACTGCAAAGATAGCCAATTTCAAATGTTTTTTTGTCATAGAAATTTTAAGTATTTGTGATGAGATGTTTTACACTTAGGTTAATTTAATTATTGTATTCAAAAATGAAATTTTCACCTTACATCCTACAAATACATACAGTAATACTTAGTCCAACTATAATAAAAATAAATTTACAAAGTAAAAAATCTTGAGTAACTCAAATAATTTGATAATATTGAGTTTGATTTCTAAATTTCCTAATCATTGTGCATATCTGTAAATCATCTGAATTGCCTTCATGAGGTCACATACATTTTCATTTTCTCCCTCTGAATTCAGAGTTACCAGTCTTTATACTGTCACACATATTTTGTGCGTTCCTGAATGTGTCCTTTTCGTGAAATTCCCCACCCATTTCCTTACGATCCTAGATGTCATTGGTTTCATCAAATGTTTGTTAAAGATGTTAGTCTTTTTTATTAAGAAGGTGGAGATCTGTTGTTCTTTTCTTTCATTTTGTGTTTAGTAGCTCTCGTTGTTTACAGACAGGTCTTAAACACATCTTCTTCGTACGGTGTATATCAGACTTCATGCTTTTGTGACAGAATAATGGTTTTAATAACAGAGGATAATTCCCACAGCAATATTTTTAAGAATGCGTATCACAGGCACTGTCCATTAATGAAGCCACACAGCTCCTTCAATTCCTATGGGACAGTCCTCAGACTCCTGTGTTCCCTTCTTTGTTTGAAGGGACAACACTCTGACCTTCACCAGGGAAGTCCTCCAGGAACCCATGTTTGTCCTTAGGAGAGAGCAGTTCTCTAGGCCTCCAGGCTGATGAAATAATAATCATTCTCACCAAGGAGCTCTTTCACCTTATTTTCTCTGCATAATCATCACAGGGAAAAAATGGACATGTGAAAAAAAAAAAAGCTTTGTTTTTGTACATGTTATAGATGCTATGAAGAGCTCTGTAACAACAGTTAGAAAAGGTCTTCTCTAACCCATCCCTCTGGATACTAGGATTTGGGTTCCTTAGGGGCAGAACAACACCAGCCTCACATATAGCCATGCAGCATCTTTAGCTTGGTCTTCAAAGCTAACATTGCTTGGTTCCAGTGCACAACAAGAAACAGCACTGATGTAAGGATGAAAAAAAACCACAGAATTTCCAAATAGTAAAATGTGGATCATTATCAGTTAGAAAATATGGATCATTATTCTTGTTGGGGAATTATTTTGAAAATTAAATAATGTGTTTCATGTAAACTGTTTAGACAAATGTTAATCATGCTTTTCACAGTCATTACTTTGTATGCATGGGGTAACTGACAATCATTAATTTAAAAAATATGAACTTTGCATTCTCAACACTTTGGTTATCTTACATCATCTGGTGTTGCTGGCCCCTTCAATATCAGGTAAGATGAGGTATGGATGGAGGAAATCGAACCACAGTGACAGAGTTCATTCTCCTGGGATTCCCGGGCTCTCCCTCCCTGCAGCTCACACTCTTTGTCACCTTCCTCACTGTGTACCTGCTCTCCCTCATGGGAAACACCCTCATCACCTTCATTGTTCTCACTGACTCCACACTCCAGACACCCATGTACATCTTCCTAGGGAACCTGTCCTTCTTAGAGATCTGGTACACCACGGCCACCGTGCCTAAGCTGCTGGACACCTGCTTCTCCGCAGTTGTCACCATCTCTGTTCATGGATGCATTACCCAATACTACTTCTTCTTCTCCATGGGAGCCACAGAGTGCATCCTGCTGGCCGTGATGGCCTATGATCGGTACGTGGCCATCTGCAACCCTCTGCGCTACTCGCTTCTCATGAATGCTCAAATCTGCCTCAAGTTTTCAGGTGGGTCCTGGATTGGGGGATTCGTTGCTCCTCTCCTACCTACTCTACTTATCTCTCAACTAAACTTTTGTGGTCCCCAGAAGATCAACCATTTCTTCTGTGACTCAGACCCCATTTTCAAACTTTCCTGCTCAGACACTTTTTTGGTAGAAGCCCTGGGCTACACATGTAGTTCAGTTGTGATTCTAAGCTCTTTCCTTCTCACAGTCTCCTCTTACGGCAATATTGTGGCCACAGTGGTTAGGCTGTCTTCCCGAGACGCTCGGAAGAAGACTTTCTCCACCTGTGCCTCCCACCTGACCGTAGTCACCATCTACTATGGCACCATTATCTTTGCCTATGTTCGTCCTCCGGCCAAGTACAACTTCACCATTGGAAAAGTGATCTCCGTATTCTACTGTGTGGTCACCCCTCTGGTAAACCCTTTGATATACACCCTAAGAAACAAGGAGGTGAAAAAAGCTTTCAGGAAATGTCTAGTACAAAACACATTTTTGTTCACTAAAATGACTAAGAAGTTTTGAAAGATCAACAAAATTGTACAGTGTAGACTGAAAAATATCACGTATGAATGGTAAGTATTGGAAATTAAATTGTGAATTTGCTATGATTTAAAATTGTTACATTCAAGTAAATTTAAATTTTGTTTTGGATTCTACCAAAGGGCTCTTCTTGCTCACACTGTGTATAAACATATCAATAGTGTATAGTGTCACAATGGGAAGGATTGATAGCATAAGTTTTTTGCATGTAAGACATTCACAAGTGGAAGATACTGGTTAAGTCTCACATGCTTCAGTTAAATATTTTTATAATATATATGCCTCAGATAACATGAGCCAAAAAATCTTTTCAATGGAGCCATTTTATATAAACCTAAGCATTTACGCCTGAAAAGCAAATTCATTCATTAATTATGAAATATGTTTGTGATGAGTTAGTTGTTATTGTTAATCACTGATGTTTAGTCATTAGTATAAACATAGCTGCTTACTTAATTAGGAAAATGTTACCTAATGAGGATTTTTTACATAACTTCAAACTGTTACTAAGTTAACTAAGTTTAAAAAGAGTAACATGATTAAGAATGAAGAACAGAAATATCTGAGAAGTGAACACTGTAAGAAGGGTTACATTTATCATAAAATGTATATGTTAGCTTTATTGGATTCCTATAGAATTAAAAAAACACAGTTAATCAAAAGTAATTTGATGTGGAAAGGCAAGAAAACAAAAAGAACATCTGCTTTTGCATTGTGTCACTCTCAGACATACGTGAAGAAGTTCTACAGTCTGTTTTAATTTAGTGTAGTTTGCCCGAAGCTGGGAGGATGAGACCCTGTACGGTTCAGGAGGATGTGCAGCTGCTCCCTAAGGCTCTTCCTTTTGGGCGGGACATGGCCAGAGGAAAAGCAGAGCCAGCACCTCAGAAAGAAGGGAAATCGCACTGGGGACTCTGAGGGAGGATGCGCACTCTGATTAGGTTGCCAGTTGACTTGGTTAGCAGATCAAAGCCTGAGGGCCGCTCTTTTAGGCCACTGAGGCTTTTGTGCAAGATCTCTCTCTTTTTTTTTATTTAAAGAGAAAAAAAATAGCAGAAAAAGGGTACAAGGTTTACAGAATTTCAAGAAAAAAATACAGTAAGAAATCACTAGTTAATAGATTACATATTGTCATCTTAGAAACAGTTGTCCAAGTTACAAAATTAAAGCATACAAAGTGGACATTCATACAGTGAGACTGCAGATAGTTCTGTTCAATGATCCAACAAAAACTCAGTAATATGGTTTTCTATCCTACACACTTAAATATACATGCAGTTATATCCTTTAGGCCACTTTCTTTTCCTCTCTTTTTACATTAACAATTATACTTTTTGGGTTTTATTACCCCCACAGTTCTTATTACCTTTTTTTGAAGAGAATAAGATCAAATGTGACAAAACAAAACAGAGTCAGTTAGAATAGAAGGATGGACATAGTATATGATGCCAAAATAGAATACCAGGTGATCAAAAATGATTACCATTATGCCTCTTGCTATCTTGAAAAGAGTTGCCTATATCATCAGGTATAATAGAATTGAACAAAACGGTACAGAACAAGACCAATAAAACCTACACTGGAGACCTTACAGGACTTCAAAAGAAGATAATAGTCAAGCCATAATGGGCATCATAGTAAATCTTATTGCCTTCAAAGTGGTTGCCTATACCCTCAAACTTGATACTATCAAACCAAACAGAATATAGTAAAATCAGACAGAACAAGATGGGGAGAGCAATACAGGGGTTCAAATCAGGTTAACAGGAAAACAAGAAAGTTACTATAATATATTCCGTTATTTTTTAACTTATTTTCCCTTAATTAAAAAATAAATTAATGTAAAAAGTGGGAGATTGAGATAAAAGAGGACATAGTAACAGAACAACACAGGTCAGAACCAAATTTAATTTAAGCATCATTGTGTTTCACCACCAAATATCCTGACATAATAGTAGTCACCATAGTGTCTCTTTCCTTGAATTATTTGAGTATAACTTCGTATACTATAGCATCAAACATATCAAGACAGTGTGAAGTCATTCAAGAGAATGTAAGAATTACAGGGTATTTAGAACCAGCTAACAGAAAACAAACAACAGTTTCTATATTATCTCTTTGCCTATACAAATTTTTGTTTATACTATCACATACAGTAAAATATAATAAGATACAACATGTGAAAATCTATGGAAACCGACGAACAACAGCTTGATGGAACTTCAAGATAAGATGATATTAAATCGGCACTAGCTATTATGATGTCTTGTTTTCTTCAAAATTGTGCAAGATCTCTTTAAAGATGAGAGAGTTAATGAAATCAACAGTTTGCTGCAAATACCAGTGTTAAAATTTTCTCAGCTTAAACTGAATCTCAATTATTTTGGAATGCGTAAAACACATGAAACTGTATTTTGGATGATGTCTTAATTCTTGGTTGGGATCTTGTTTCTCAATTATTTTTGAAAACTTACGAGTGCCTGTGCCTGTTGTTCAGACATAATGGTGCGTGCTTGTAACAACCTGTGATTGTTCCACATCACCACCAGCCCTTCCGCCCCTCTCCCTCCTGTCTTTCCTCATGGGTCATTGTCTTTTTCTACTTTCTTGAGGTCTCTGCCCTTTCCTCTAATTTTAGATTTCACATGTGAGAAACTTTATGAGTTATTTCATGTTCTTTGGAGTTTCTCTTAGATCTCAAAAAATGCTTTTCTTCATCTCATCTATTTTCTAGCAAATGACAAGATTTAATTCTTTTTGTGGCTGAAAAATTCTGTTGTATGCCTAAACTATTTTTTTCTCTCATTCGTTTTTAAACAGGGATCTGTGCTGTTTCCACAGTTTAGCTACTGTTCCACTGACATCAACATAGGTATACATGTCACTGTAGCATGAAATTTTAATTATTTCAAGTTATACTAAGAAGCAATATTGCTAGAACAAATTGTACCATGATTTTTAGCATTTTAGAGATAGCTTTACTGATTTCCATAATGGGTGTACTAATTTACATTCTCTCCAACTGGTAGAAAGCTTTTTCTTTCACAAATCTTTACCAACATTTGTTGCTTTCTGTGTTCTTGATTATAGCTATCCTGTTGTATACAATGATCTCAAATTTCAATATAGCTTTATTATCCTTTTTGGAATGGTTAGATATTTTGAGCATGTTCATGTAATTATTGACCACTTGTACATTTTTTGATATATATCTTTTCAGTTAATTTGCCCACTTATTAATTGGATATTTCATTTCCTTTCTTGCCTTGAGGTTTTCCTCAGTTTTGTATGTACTATAGAAATTAAATCTCTGCCAGAACTGTAGTTGGGAAATATTTTCTCCACAGCAACTGTCATCAATATAAGTTTTATTTCTAAATGTGAAACAGAACATGCCATTTTGGCACCCCTTCTAACCCTTACTTTCTTATGGAATAGAAAAACATACATACAACTTATTTCCAAAATACTGAAACACTCTCTGTAAGTTTTTATGGGGTTCCAAAATGAAGACAGGTACTTTTGCCCATTAATGGTAGTGATTTTCATCAAATCCAACTCCTTAAATTAAGTTATACCTTGGATTACATTCATTAGAACATATTTAATGAACATATCTGCCTCTGAACTTTTGTCATTCTGAAGTTCTAAATATTTCCTTGTTTGCTAGGGCAAATCTACAGCCACAGCTGACCTCAAGTCTTTTACAAGGGATGGGGTGGCCTGCCCTCCCTCAGTGTACACAGGCTTTCAGGAGAGGACACATGTCTTAGTCTCTCATTGCCATCGATCTAATCGGAACTCTGCAATCTTCCCTTCAAAACGTGAAAAAAGCCAAATTTTTAGGAAAAATATACATTAAGTAATAGCAAATATCACATTTTTTATCACAACTTGATCTGCCAATATGATATGACTAGCACGCATTATAGCCTTCATAGTAAAAATACCACTTTATGGGAAGCAGATTGTTAAGAATTTTCAGAAACTACTGTCATAAGGTTTTCCCAAGATAAAGCAACATCTTAAACCAACATGCAAGCATGTGTTAACTTCCAAAACCACAAAGGGAAAAAGATTACATGAAATTCAAAATACATATAATTATATTTTATTTGTAAAATCAAATAATGTTTGGAGAATATTTTCAACAGATGAAAAAGTAAAGGAACTTTTTACAGAGGAGATATTTCCATACAAGTACCTTTCTAAATCTTAATAACTTTATTCACATATTTATACTAACTGACTTGTCAGTATATAAAACAAACATAAATGTTTTTAGCACCTTCCTAATTTAATGAATTGTGTTTAAACAGTCCTTCTGCATATTTAATGTAGCATTAATCTGCCAAAATAAAAATCTATAGTATTTCTATTCAGATGCTCTTTTGCTCATGCTTCTCTGCAATACTACAGAGCTGGTATTTCACATAAACCATCTGTCCATATGGGTGATTATTACTCAGAAGTTTCAGTTGTGCAGTGTACTATATAGATAGTGAACTCAGCTTTATTCTATCAATTTTAAGTGTAAAATATTAGGTCATGAGCATAATAATGTAAGCAAGAAGTTCTGACAATTTAGCAGGATTCTCGTTTTCCATCAAAGCTCAGCGGCAATCCTGCACCAGGTATCACTTTGCACTAAGCTGCTTTCTAGCCAACACGTTTCATCTCCCGACAGCACCAATGCTTGACTTACATGTGTCTGTGGAGAGAGCAGGATACACAAGAGAACAACGCTGCTGTCACAAGAGGCTTCCTCCATCTGTACAGGCCCCGGATCCCGGCAGTGTTGCAGTGGATAAACAACAGCGTCCCTATAAACAGCACGAGGTTAACTGTGCATCTGTGACGTTTCATGTAAAGAAAGCCTGGGAGCAAGGCCTGGTGTCATCACACACCGTGCAGGGATGATGTTCAGCTGGAAGGGAAGCTGGGGAGCCCCAAGAATAGTCTGCACCCAAACACCGAGCTTT